GTCAGTTAACTAACCACATTCTACTCAACTTACATGACAAAAAATTGTGGGGATTTTAGAAATGCCATTTAATACACAATTAAGCATCACCACTAGCTCATGTGTAGGGGAAATTAATTGAGATAAAAAGAACTTGGCTTCTAGGAAAATCAGAGTTTTGTTCAAAATATAATAATAATGATAATCTACTATGTTGGTAGAATTTTCAGGATCTAATTATAAGCTTGTTCAATCTGATGGCTTTCTAAGTAGTGGCAGAAGTTACATGAGAAGAAATATAGAAGGCCCATGACACAGCAGAACCTCCTTTTGAATTGGTAGATTCTAAAACTCATTTTATTTTGCTTATTCATAGAAAATAGACAAAGAATAAAAAATCTTTCTTCTCCTGTTTCTTTCTTCTCCATAGTTTCTACTACAGAAATTACTTGTAATTTTTTACTTGCATATAATTTATGTATACGTTGTTATTAGTGTAAGCAAATATCAAAGCTGGTCTAACCAATCTACATTAGTATCATAACGGAAGTAAGGAAAGAGGTTATATCTCATCAAATTGCATCCACTGAAGACCGAGGACTCATTCTAATGACTTGGCAGAGAGGCTAAGTGGAAAATAGGCATCACACCCAGCTCCAGGCGGAATGGTCAACCTGCTGGAATTAAGGCTCTGACATCCGACTGCCCCACAACTTTTATTTTAGGTAAGTCAATGTCATCTGGGGTGGCAGACTGTGCTCTCACAAGTAAAATTTGAGATCCAGTGCTCCACTTGCCATAGTTTGCATCATGCAGGCTTTTAATCCAAAGATCTGAAGCCCCTAAGCCAGAACATTTTACCTCAATTATCTCTTCTGAGTTGCCTGCTAGGAAGGTGAGGGCCAAATTTGTAGCCCACTTCTAACTTGCATTTTGTGTACAGAGTTCACTCCTGGTTTTATATTTTCTTTTTCCATTTCCCCTTTACTCAGATCTTATTTATTCTAAATAAATTTTATCATATTGTATGCATCTCTGCAAGCCCTCTTAAAAACTTCCTGGCAGAAGGCAATACGTAAGCAAACTTTAGACAAATTATACAATAATCAGGCTAATTTTGAGTCAATCTTGTTTACTATATATATGACAGGTTGATTCAAGTCAAAGATATCAGAGATTTAAAAGATGGTAACATTTCTTAGCAAATTCATATTCTCTCTAAGGCAATATTTGACTTATAAGAATCTGAATTTCAGTAGTTAAAAATGAAAGATGGATTCAAATTGCCCCAAAAGTATGTTTTCCAGAAACTTCTTAATTTCCAAAAAGTTTCAATTAAAAAAATCAAATCATTCAGGTTGAAAAAAGGAGGCTGATTGGGAAGGTGCTTGGTATGGCACATTACAGGGTAACCAGAGGTGGAATCTTTATTTTGCAAGTTTCAAGATACAGTACAAAACGAATCTGTACATCTCTCTATTAACAGGATTTGTTTACACAATTATATTACACGTCACCAGCCTTTATACTGCATTTCATTAAATACAAAATAAATTTACAAAAAAAGTTTACCATGGTGTTCCTTCACAATGCCAGCTTATGATGTCTTTTAAAACTTCCTCTCCTAAATATTCATAGTGGTTACATCTTGATCATATCAACATTATGAGTTTCATGAGTTTTTTTTTTTTAAATCAAAGAGAATAGTGTCAGCCTGTCCGTCAAACCAAATAGGAAAAATAGCTCATGTGAGATGGCTCCATGCACGTAACCTTCTCACGCACACGAAATCAGGTTTTTACTTGTGCAAATAGTCACTTTAAAGTACAAATCATTTTCTACTTGTGATCATTTAAAATTTTCTTGAAATACCAAGTAGATGGAGAAATTTAGCTTCTTTTCAATGAATACTACACATTTAAAAACCAGGTAGTGCCTCAGACAATGTAGCATTCAGAAAGTGTATATTTTCATGTTTGAGAGCGATGACTGATGAAAAATATTTGCATGAAAATAGAAGTTTTCTTTTTCTCTAATTTTTTCTTGCATACTTCTTGTCATAATATTATGTAATATGTATTAGAGTCACTTTCAAAATAAATACCAGCTGTCACTGGAGCAAAGATAGCCCTTCTCTTCTTGGCAGATAAAGGGGCCGTTTACCTGAAGCATCTTGTTTTGAAATGTGCATGTGAAATGCTAGTCCAGACCTCTGTAAAGGAAGTTTTTGCATATGTAGTTAGACATTGGTACACATGCTACACACATGAAGAACTGTATTAACAGTTTTCATTTACAGGCCTGCATGCATGCTTCTAAAACACTGGTTTGAAGAACAAACACGAGGAGCAAAGAAGTGGGGGGGAACAAAGCAAAAGAAAACAAAATCCTGTATATAAAATACTTAAGCTTCCTCGAGGCATCAGCAGCTCCTTAATTAAATAAATCATCGGATCATCAGCAGATCACTGGCGGAAGTTTCCAAAAGTTGCCAATGGTACAGAGCTAAAACAGCTTAGTGGTAAAACTCTAAGAAATTAACCTCATATGCAGAAAAGTAATAAATCGTCAAGAGTATCAAGATGAATGATTCATAAATTAATCTGATTTAATTGCTAAATAATGAAGTCTGAAAAAAAGCCTTTAATTTGCTTTTTCTGTGCCATTGACTATTAATCAAAACACTAAGATAAGCCTCACCTAGAAAACAGAAACAAAAACTTGAAACACAAAAAGAAAAAAAACCAACAAAGCCAACCTGAAAAAAAAAAAAAAAAACAAAAAGGAAAAGTTCAAAAAAAATGGCCAAACAAAAAAACAAAAAAAAAAAAAAAAAAACCAAAAAAAAAAACAACGCCAACAACCTCCAAAGCAAGAAGACATACTTATAAAAGGTATGAGGACAGATGGGCTACCGTGGAGAAATGAAGCCACACTCTGTTAAGTGTAAATTCTAACATTAAAACTCCTGAATCCTGGAGTTAGTTTAATGTCACTGACATTAACTAGCTTTAGTTATTGTCATTTTATTCAAATGGATGCCATTTGATTAGCTAAGTACTGAGCATTATTTTAGGAGAAAAACCAAACCCAATTCCTATTTGCTTAGGTACCACGTCCTCTGAACAAAAATGAAAAAGGGAGCAAAGTATTTTGAGACAGTTTTTAAATGAAGCCATAAGAAATTTTAAAGATACCATTCAAATTTCTGGTAGCAAATGACCCATGGTAAAACAGGAAGTGGAAACAAACCAAGAAAAGGATATTTGGAATGTTAATTTAAAAAGGCAAGTTTAAACTAATAGCAAGTTTGTTATTACACGAAGAACAAGACTACATTTTTCCCATCTGGCCTAGGTAGTGCACACTGTTTTAACAAATGTTTTCTCAAAGTACTAATGGAAGGAAGTAAATAAAGATAGACATACAAATGCTAAAGGAGAAATTAGACGGATGGCAGAAGAAAAAAATGGAGGTTGATAGTCACCTTAGAGGGGTTTTCAACTTTTAAATAAATTAAAACAGGTCCTTCTAAATGGAACATGGCAGCTACCATGGATTATACTTATTTGAAGGGGGGAAAAAGGCAGTGAAGACACCAACATACTGACCAACTGCACTCCAATCTCCATGTGTAAGAGACCAAAACAATCCGTAATATTTACAAGAGCTGCCTAAAGCGACATTACACTTCTGAGGGTAAAATTTCCTACCTTTCACAGACATGCTTTTTATAATATGGTTCTCTCTGTGACCACCTGTTCAAATTCAGAAGCAATTATCTGGGAGGAAAGTTTGCTTATCAGGTTTCCCATAATACTCTAAACACGAAAAATGTATACAACTTCACATTTAAAGCCTTCATGTATGTTCATTACATACCAATTAAATCTAGTTCTAAATACAATCTGAACTTCAAAAAACAAAGCACTATAACTCTATAAGTAATAAACTCTTCAAGTTTTCCGGCAGATGAGGGATTATGGGAAAAAAGTATAAACGTTAGTATCAAGGTTAGTATCAAGGGTTAGTATCAACAGACTGATGCTAACAGGCGTATGAAGCCTGCTCAGATATGAGCACAGTCTCAGACTAGATACCGGCTGGTGAACACTACCATGTGACAATAAAATGAAATACAAATTCAGTTTAAGCTTCAATTGTTTCATTTATGTGATTATGTGAAGTTCTCAGTTTTCTTTGTTGTTGTTTTTTTCATGCTATTTAGCCAGCAAATTCTGAAGTGTGGTAGCCTTGATTTTCCTAATGTTAATTTTGGGAGGATGGTGAGTATGATAGCTAACGAGGCGGCTGACTTTCTACTGTAATAGAAAACTGTAAGAAATAAAAAGGTACCTAAACACTATAGAACAGTACAAACAGACTTTGGCTTTCATCAACCACTGAGTTTAATCCATCTTTGATTCTCTGAGTTCTAGTACGATAATGGTAGTCACTGTATGCCATATCCTGGCAATTACATTTCATATTTAAAGAATTCAGGAGGGCGATCTGTTCTTTGTGCAATAAGAAATGCAAAGTAAAATAAATTCTGGGAACAAACGCTTCAACTTTTTGGGAAAGTTGTCTATGAAAGTGTCTATGATCCTGGTACCCCATCCAGAGTTCTTTAATATTGTTTTCTAATTTCTCCCATTTAGTCCATCCTCTGGCTTCCAGATCAAGGCTCTGTATACTCAAAACAAACAAGAAAATTACACTGAGTAGGCGGTAGGTGGGGCAAATTCACGTTAGTGCAAGGACTCCGTTCACAAAGTTTTACGTATGTATTCCATTACCAAAAAAGTGAAGTTCACAAAAAACTCTTTAACAAGTCCTTTCAGTCTTTGAAGGAAAGGAGTATGGTATAAAGTGTGACAATCACCATTAATAAGAAACCTGCCAATCTTTCTTTTAAAATAACATATACACTAAATATGTATACTTGCAGGTGGATTGGTAAGTTTCTCAGTTATCGCAGTTCCAAAACATTTGAAGACCTTTTTTTTTCTTCTTTTTTTACTTAAAAGGCAAGTTCTATTCTCTTTCAAACATGTTTAAGATTAAACTTGCAACTAATTCAGTTTTCCTTTCTACATTGATCAGTTTTTAGTGTCGATGCACAAAACCTTAAAGATGGCTGATATAAGAACTTACGCACATTGAAAGAATGACCGAAAGGATCCAAGAAAGATAGCTGGATAGACGTTACTTTTGAGTGTCTCACATATGTTTCAAGAAAAAAAAAAAAAAGGAAAGCCACTGAGACTTGTTATTCCACATGGCACTGAAACAAACATTCAACTTAGTTTAGGTAAGAGTTACTTATCCCTGAAAATAAAGGCATCAGATTCTAAGCAGCTTTAGGAATTCAATGCTTCTTTGTGCCTCTTCCAGGAGGTGACCACCGATCCAAAGTCCTAAATCAAATGCGAGTGTTCTCAGCAAACAACTTCCTTAGTTGTCACTGATCAAGGCTGGACATGGTAGATGTTACTGTGGTGGCTGCTGCTCTGCGGGCCCTTCCTGCTGGGGTGGAGCTGGCCGTGGCCCTGCAGGCCTGGGCACAGGCACGTCCTGGTGCTGCCTCTGCCTGTAAGCTATCACCGTTCCCAGCAGCAGCGCGATGATGGTCATGAGGTAAAGGTCCCACTCAGGTCCCAGAAGCTGGTCCATATCAAGTTGGGTGAACATATCTCGAATCTTAATGAAAATAACATAATAAAAATCATTATTGCCACTGAAATGTCAGGGAAGGAACTGGGAAAGTTACACCACAAATTAGAAATAAGTATAGAACTTAAAAATAATTGGTTTGAGGAACATTTTGCAATGTGTATTTTAAAAGAAGGTTTTAAAGCCTTCAACTGAAGCTCAAAATAATGTGTCTCAGGCACCAAGCTATTAATTTATAATAGCTGACTATACAAAATGTCTAACAGGTTCTACCAGCAATCTAATGCACTAATTTTCAACCATTTTTCATAGAAAATATTTGAAAGGAACCCTGGGACAATGGAGAGCCAAGGATGGGAAATTAATATTGTGGCCCACCCGTCACCTATTTGTAGTAATGGCACACCAGCTGAGAAGCTCTGTTCTACAACAGTGGGGCTAGTCTACACTCTCCTGTAGTTGAAGACTGAAGAAATTCACACATTTAATAGTTGAATGAATAATGCTTTTTAGTCAGGATTTAACTAAGATGCAAAATATTTAACATCTGAATTTGAACTTGAAAGTTACGTTCTTAGCCTATGATATTTTTTCATTGTTTTAGTGTCAGTTAAAAAAAGTTATTCCTGATATTTTCTGCTATTTACCCATAGAGGAAGTAAATATGGGGTATAGTCCTTTATTTAAATAAAATTATATTTAAAAGGTCTCTCTAATGCATATTTGTAGGTATAGGTGCTAAATTTTTCTGGGAAAAAATAAGAAACCACTAACTGTGTTCCCTGGAGAGGAACCTGGGATGGGAAGTTTTGTGTTTGACTGTACTGTTTGACTTTCTTACCATCAATATTTATTACTCTTGTACTTTTTTTTTTAGTTGGACTACCTAGCTGATAGGATTATGGGACATTTTATTGTCTTCTTTATACTTCTGTATTAAAAAAACCCAGCAAAGATATAATATACTCAGGACAGTGTACTGCAAGATGAAATCTTAGACTATAAACACAGCTTATGGTTATAAAAATTGTGGGAGACAAGAGTCTGCAACAGTTCTAAGAGAGAAACAGCAAGCTGCCACACTATCAGCTTTTTAATCAAAGGAACAAAGATAGTTTCAATCGACAGAGGGTGCAGCATACTCTGGCTCGTGCTACCAAGCAATTATAGCAATTGACATCACATGTGTCTCAGCAACTGGAGGACAGACTCCCACACATCCAGGAGCCTGGAGTGCTGTCTGTGGAGACACCTCAGTGGCATGGGCTAGGGTGGCAAAAGGGAGAAGTCTATTTCTCATTGTTGATGCTGGAGCTGCATGGACTACATTTGCATCTGTGTAATATATGAGAGAAAGCCTGTTCTAGAATCTAATGCTGAAATGACATACTAGCCTGTTCCGAAAGACATTACAAAAGGGTGAAACATCATCCTTTTCTAGTCCTAAATAAACTAACGTTAAATAGCCCTTGTTGCTAACAAGCGCTCTGAACATTTTAGGGCTTTCAGGGTTATATGCTGCACCAGTTCATCCATTATCAGGAACTATAGGTATTGGAAACAAAATTTCAAACTGGCAGAACCCAAGAGCACCAACATTTAAGTATTGTTAACTAAAGCTGGTAGTTTTGAAGAGAGTGGGTAACCCACCTCCTATCTAGGTTCTATCATTAGCCTATTTAAATATTTCAAGCTATTTTTAGAGAAGAAAATTCTGGTGGCATTTTTAACTTATGTTTCACTATCAGAAGAAACCGAAGTACAATAGCCTGGATAGTTTCTCAGGTTCATTTTCTTCTTTCTTTTTTTTTTCTTTTTCTTTTTCTTTTTAAGGGGCTGGTTTGAGTCCCTTAAAATCAAATCAAATGACTTAATGTTTACTGAATTTAGTTAATTACCCTTTCAAACTGCTTTGAGTAAGTCTCAGTTTTCACTAAACCAGAAAACATAGGCATCAGTGAAAAATGCTTTAGCAGTAGGAACCACTGAGTGCTACCTAAAAACTGCATTAACTGCTCTGTGGTACTTCACCTGGGGGGAAGAAGGGAAGACAACTGACATTTGCAGCACACTCTGCCATACGCATCCCCAACTTTTTAAATAAAAACTTCCAGGACAGAGAAGGTTGTATCATCTGTATCTTAATTAAGGAAGCATGTCCACTTACATTTGTTTCCCGTATGTACTGCAAGAAATAGACAACGCCCAATTTACAGAGTGCTAGAAAGACTGGTACTTGTGCGTCTGGGCTGGCTTCGGCTGCCATGTCATAAAAACGTTTTGCAAGGTGAATATCCTATAATATAGGTAATAAACAAAAATTTATTTCTTGTCAAAATAAGTAAAAATATTTATTTAGCTTGCATATTAGGAAATTTTATTTTACCTTTCAAGTTTTCATTTTAAAATGAATTTCCCTCACCTAAAGAAAAAACCAAGCTTTACTTGGGCAAAGTTCAATTGTCTAACTGTTAAATTTTGAAAAATTTAATTAAAAAACTTGATTCATTTTCCCCCAACACAACATCCCATTTGCTGTGTAGATATGCTGCATACAGCCATATATCTATGCTTTAACACTGTTAACCTGGAGATTTCCAAGGGTGATCTCTTAAGTCTCAAGCTAATTTTTTAGTACTTAAAACTTCAGTCAGTGTAAGCAACTTATAGTTTCAGTTTGGAGCAGTGCTTCAAAGTGGGGTAGACACACTCGATATTTTACAAGAGGTACTAGCATGGACAGTGTTAAGGGCTCTATCGTGCAGTTCCTCAAACTTTCATACATGCTTTCCTGGAAGGCACCTGCCTGAGAACAGGCGTCTGTGCACAGCAACCTTTCTACACTTTACAAAAGAAAAGCACACCCCTCACCTACCCCACCCCTTCCTCGGGAGCAATGCCTTGGGGTGTAAAAACCTTAGGGGCCACCACAGAGAGAGATACCCTGAAATACTGGCTTTGGAGAAGGCTCCTTTATTGCCTAATTACAAACCCATATTAGGGCATCTGGCGTTTCCCTGTGTTAGACGTATTTCTGTAAAGGGTAAAACAAGTCATTATTAATTTTGGCGCAGGTTAGAGTGTTCGGAATTCAGGTATGTGGTAGAATGGATGGTGGGAGTTGTGACAATTTACACTTGAAAACCTCACTTCTTCCATGCCCTGATGACTGTCAAAGAATATTCAACTCTTGAATTCCATGAGACATGGGAAAGAAAGGCTAAACACTGAAAATGACTTTTTTCCCACATATTTAAATATAAGTAACTTTCAGCTATTCTTTATTCTTGTCCTTAGAGTGTGCAGTTAAACAGAAGAGCACCTTCAAATAATGGTAACATTATGGCTAGAGTCTCCGATTTTTTAAAAAAATTTAACTTAAAGGCTCAAATGGTTTTCTTGGATTGTCGTATTTTCCAAGATCATGGATCAAACTTTATGTGATCCGTAAAGACTCTGTGGATTATTCATTAGGATGATCAAATAGATTCAACAGGGTAATAAGACTTATCAAATAATATAATGAATTATTTTTTCCAATTATAGCCAATCCTCATATTATTGAATACTTAACACTTTCCTAGCTATACTAGATGCTGGATTGATTAGCTTTCAGTGGTATGAGTGTCTCTTTCATTTAAAAAATAGGAAAAAATAGGAAAAGGTGATCATGTCTTATAAAAACCAATGGAGTTATTCTGATTTTATACATGATTATTCAATTATTCTCAAAAGCTGAAAACAAATTCCCTCCTCCCAATTTGGCTGAAGATGAACAGATAGTTTCTCAAACAAATATTAATAGTTATCAATAGAGGCAGCACTGCATTTCCATTTTCATGAATCTGTCTTTAGTTTAATATCCCAAATATAAGACCATAGATATTACCATGTGTGTGGTAGGAGATGAGAGAGACGGAAGACCAATCTTCTGAAATATTATAAATCATTCTCATAATTTAGTGGCCTAGAATATGACTGAATTCGACAGTCTATTTTCTATACAAAGGCACATGTTCCCCCAATCACAATTATATTAGTCAAACATCTGGTTTTGAAGCCTCGCTCACCTGTTTAATGCCCAGTCCTTTCTCATGCATATATCCCAGATTAAACATAGCTTGTGCACTGTGCTGCTGCTCAGAAGCCAGACGATAATGAATAAATGCAGTCTCGTAATCTACATCAGTGCCGAATCCATAGAAATGGTAGTCTCCAAGCTTAATTCTAGCCACAGTATAGCCTTAAACAAAAGTTAAATGCAAAAATGCCAACAAATAGTGTTTAAGAAAAGACCAAACTATTATTTCCCCTCCTTCTAACATGCTTATATAAAACAAAGAATTTTAACTTGTAGCACACAAACTTTGTACGAAATCCCTCAGCCAAACTATAAAGTCAGTAAAAATATAAACTAGAAGTGTAGCTCTTCTGCAGAAGGGTTTGTAATAGTCAAGGAGAGGTAAAACCAGGTGGGTAGTACAGATGCATATCCCTAATCCAAAAATCTGAAATCCCAAATGCTCCAACATCTGAAACTTGATGCTTAAAGGTCAAGCTCAAAGGAAATGCTCATTGGAGCATTTTGGATTTCAGATTTTTGGATTAAGAATGCTCAACCAGTATTTACACGCATATATTCCAAATCTGAAAGAATCTGCAATCTGAAACACTTCTAGTCCTGAGCATTTCAGATAAGGGAAAATCAACCTATATTCCCTCTTTCACTAATTCTCCTCTTCAAATGATTATGCTCTACTTTATCATGCATTTATATTTTTAAATAGTTCACTTGAACCATTGTTTAGGCTTGGAGAAGGGATAGACAATGTTGAGAGTAGTACGCTTGAAAAAGAAATACTCAAAAGGAGTGGGGAAAGATTAGTCTTTTGGGTTTTAGGCTAATATTTTATCCTATATTCTATTCCATTCCAATTTTATAAAATATACTAGCTTCAAACTAGAAACCAAAGAGTGAATCACAGCGTGATGGAAATGTCTAGTACAATGACTTCGCAACCCAATTTAGAAACCCTGGCACCAGGACTTCCATTTTAAGAATAAATGCCAATAATATACAAAGAAGTTAAGCAATAGTTAGTATCTCTGCTTAATTTTAAGGTGATGAATGACATGATTCCATGTTCACGGGAGATAAACAATATAGGGAGGTCCCCAGGTGAAACTCTTATCCTAGAATTAACCACTCACCTTGAGAGGCCGCCCTGTTCCAATGCAGCAAAGCTCTGGGATAAGTTTCATTTTCACCTACAATGGTTGCTTCTCCTATAGGAAAATAAATGAAATACAAATCAGGCATTTAGGGAAAGGCACTAGACTTTCAGGCTTCATTTGCAAACTAGGGAAGATGTGGCACATAAGTTAAAAAAGAATTAGGATATAATAGTATTATATTAAACAAGTTTGAAATAAAATACTTCAAGGGAAATCACTGGATTTGGGAGGGCGCTACTTTGTGAAACTTGTTTTATCGATAAAACTAATGAAGAGACTAATTACTGAGCTACTTCTAGGAATCTACAGTGTTGGCAAAATGGGGTTTTGGTATCCACTGTATTTTGAAAAATATATTTACTGAAAGCCCTTAATTTAAAAATTAATGTCATATATATTTCTACTGTCAACGCTAGTTATAAAACTAGAGTTATAACTTTCATGACTAAGTAACAAGCACGTGTGCTATAAAGTTCCATTTACAACAATAAAGAATGTTTCTTTGTGGCTTTTCTTTTTAAACAGGTTAACCTGATATGAGCTCTTGTATTCTTTTTTTTTTTGAGACAGAGTCTCACTCTGTTGCCTGGGCTAGAGTGCCATGGCGTCAGCCTAGCTCACAGCAACCTCAAACTCCTGGGCTCAAGCGATCCTCCTGCCTCAGCCTCCCGACTAGCTGGGACTACAGGCATGAGCCACCATGCCCGGCTAATTTTTTCTATATATTTTTAGTTGTCCAGCTAATTTCTTTCTATTTTTAGTAGAGATGGGGTCTCGCTCTTGCTCAGGCTGGTCTTGAACTCCTGAGCTCAAATGATCCACCCGCCTTGGCCTCCCAGAGTGCTAGGACTACAGGTGTGAACCACCGCGCCCGGCCAGCTCTTGTATTCTAAACCCAAGGCAGGACTAAAATGAACTTTACTCTGATCAAGAATGAAGGCTGCATTGCTTTGTGCCACTTCATAGCCTTGTTCGGCCAGTAGGAGGTACTGGATAACTGCAGCATTGTAATCGCCATCTTTATAGCTGTTATAGGCAGTCATAAGCCTCTCAGACCAACGGCCTCGTTCACATACATTCTTAAACAACTGTGAGAAGAGGAAAGAAAAAAAAACCAATACGAAAAGTAAGAACGATATGCCAGAAAGTCACTTTTGCACTTTGGCTACAAGTGACTTCAGTTTGCTCTTTAAATCTCTGGCAGCTTTATTACATATACACAAAGTTTTGCGAATTTATTTGAAGCTTTCATTTACTCTTTGGAAGTCAACAAGTTTATAAAAATAATAGCACACAATTATATGCCATTTACTCTGGCCAAGTACTGTTCTAATGATTTATGTATATTATCATACTTAATCCTCTGGTGAGGTCCATGAGTGACCACTCTATGAAATCTGTCCTATTAACAGGCCCATTTTACAAGTTGAGTAAACTAAAGCACAGAGAGATTCAGAAATTTTGCTAAGCGTTTATCAGTGTTACTTGAAAGTGCCAGGTCTGAGAGAACTAAAGAGGGAAATTTCCAATTAGGAGATTTTAGCATTCCCCTTTGGAACTTTCAATCAAAATATACTTTTTTGACACCAACAATGTATCAGATACTATCCTAGGTGCTAGAGATACTGCAGACACTAATATCTGCTTTTGTAAATATGTTGACTCTAACAGAGAGAGACAAACTGAACAAGTAAGTACAATAGTTAGAAACAGACCCTCTTCCTCAGTATATCAATGCTGGTAGTCTGAGCCTATTCCTACTATAGAAGAAATCATGCAAAGAAAACCAGAATTAAAAGGACAGGTCTTAATAGGTAAATCAACTTCCTATACACAAGTCTGTAGAAAAGACCCTACCTCCACCGCAGTGTGACATGATCGCATCACACCTGTGCCGCTGGCATGCATCTGCGCGAGGTTATAGAAAGCCAAGATATGCCCTCCCTGAGAAGCTAAGTTAAAATACTTCAAGGCCTGTTTATAATCTCTCTTGACTCCAATGCCATCTGTTAACACACACAAAAAAAATCACATGAGATTAAATAAGATTTAGTTAAGCACCAGAGAAGTCTTACATATGAGGAATAAAACCCTAATGAAAGTCAGAATTCTTACAGAGTAAATATGTGAATCTGACTAATACAAATTCATATATGGATACAGATTAATATAATTTACAATGAAAAACAAGATGTACGAATCGCTGAATTGGGAGAACGTTAATCAGCCAGAATTATATCGCTCCCATTTCCGTATCATAGTGCCATCTAGTGGAACATATGTTAATTTAGATTTTGGTGTATCCATCATGATTTCCAATGTTACTACTGTGGTCCCCAAGCCCCCAGCCGAGGCTGCAGACCTGGTACTGGTCTGTGGCCAGTTAGCAACCAGGACCAACAGCAGGAGGTGAGTAGGAGACGAGCCAGCCAAGTTTCATCTGTATTTATAGCAGCTCCCCATTGCTCGCATCACCGCATAAGCTCCGCCTCCTGTCAGATCAGCAGCAGCATTAGATTCACACAGGAGCGTGAACCCTACTGTAAACTGTGCACACAGGGGATCTAGGCTGTGCGCTCCTTAAGAGAATCTAACGCCTGATGATCTGAGGTGGAGCTGAGGCAGTGATGCTAGCGCTGGGGAGCGGCTGCAAATGCAGAGTATCATTAGCTGGTAGGTTTGACTGCACAATAAATGTAATGTGCTTGAATCATCCCAAAACCACCCCCCCACCCTTAATCCATGGAAAAATTATCTTCCATGAAACCTGTCCCCGGTGCCAAAAAGGTTGGGGACCACTGACTTACTATAGTACATAGAACCAAGCTGTAGTTGTCCATCCACCCAGCCTTGTTCAGCAGCTTTCTGGAAATACTTCAGTGCCAGATCATAATTCTGTAGAAAAAGATGTCACATGATGAGAAAGGTCAAAAGGCTGATATCTTGAGAAGTTAGGAGATTCACTGATTAAAAGGAACGAACAAAGCACACATAAAATATTCTTGAGGGGCCATTAAAAAAGACTACCTTCTCATTTTTATAATACACAGATGGTAATACACTTTAAGTCATGGGGGATTTATATTTAAGGCTGTGAAGACAAGGAAATAGGGTTTTTGTGAAGCAATTTGTATGTCACTCTTAGAAAGCATAAACACTGGTAGAACCAGGAATTAAGAAACAATCAATCTTTTCTGCTAACTAATTAATCCTTTTTAAACCTACATTTTTCTAATATTAAATAAGGAAAATTATTCTCTCCTTATTCGTTCCTTTCTTTCCTGTGTACCTTATCAAACACTTAATAATTATTAGATTTGAAAAGTCATATGTATCCACAGAGAAAAGTTAAAATAAAGATTACTACTGAATTTTCATATCCTAAAATGACTAGAAGGAATCAAAATGAGACATTACTGTCTTTTGTGTTACACAGTACCTATAGATTGACCCTTAAACCTAGCCTCTTAGTTTCAGGCCCAAATTAAAAGAATACATTGCTTAGAAAAATCACATAAGAGAACAGCGACACAAACCCAGGGACATCGGACATGAGGAGGCAGTGCAAAAGGAGGAGACAAAATGGCCAAGGAAACCAAGAGAGCTTGCAGTCTCAGAACCACAGGAAGAGAGTTCGAGTGAGGCAGAATCCCAAAATGTCAATTGGATTGACATTAGGAGGTTACTGGTGACCTGTACAGGGCGAGCAGTTACATGAGGCAGAAGCCAGACTGCTAAGAACTCAAAAGTGTATGGCAGCAGCTTAGTTTGGCTTTCAGTGAAGAGCTGGAGAGAACAGAGGAGTTTGCTAGAAGGGACAAAGGGCAGAAGGGAAAGCTTTGCCCCTCCCAAATGGGAGGGATGTAAGCATTTTCATAGGCTTGAGTAAAGAAGTTGGCAAGGGAGATGTTTAAGTGGGAACAGTTAGTAGGGTGGAAAACATAGATGGAAGAAACAGCTCCACAGCTTTAGGAAAGAGCTTTACACATTTGGGAGATTGTGCCAGAAACAGAGTCATCCTAAGAAGACAGTCGAGATGGGGGCTGCAGGACGGGGGTGGGCCAAACTCAGAGACAACAAGAAAAGTTCATCTTTGGTTACAATGGAACAGCTTCACCTGGGCTGAATGGAAGCTACTTAAGGAATACTTCCCCACCTCTCTAGCTAACTGCTTATTAAAGTCATAATGTTAGATGGAACACTTACAACTTGAACTCCTCTCCCGTAGAGGTAGGCCATTCCAAGCCCACTCTGTCCAACGGGGTTGCCCTGCAAATCAGAGAAATAAGACAAAAGAGTGAAAAAGATTCATTAAAAACAGGCAAGAGGCTAGGCGTAGTGGCTCACGCCTATAATCCTAGCATTCTGGGAGGCCGAGGCGGGCAGATCATTTGGGCTTAGGAGTTTGAGATCAGCCTGAGCAAGTGTGAGACCTGTCTCTGCTAAAAATAGAAAGAAATTAGCTGGATAACTAAAAATGTACAGAAAAAATAAGCCGGGCATGGTGGCGCATGCCGGTAATCCCAGCTACTCAGAACTCTGGAGGCTGAGGCAGGAGAATCGTTTGAGCCCAGGAGTTTGAGGTTGCTGTGAGCTGGGCTGACGCCACGGCACTCTAGCCCGGGCAACAGAGCGAGACTCTGTCTCAAAAAAAAAAAACTAAAATAAAATAAAATAAAAACAGGCAAGAATAAATGACTGCAAAAGAAATCATTTACAAGCACACTCAAAACATGTCTTACTACTTTTCAATTCAAAACAAAACTTTCTTCTTTCCATCACGCTAAAAATAAAAATGACTTTTAGATATTTGGGAGCTTTCGGTAATTTCCTAAAAAAGAGTAAATAGTAAATTCATTTAGAATTAAATTTTGGTGACTTACCTTATGACCATTTGTACAATGAATTTATGATATAAAACATGAATAATGTATTTCATCAAAATTAAAAGCAGGTCACATTTTTGTTTTCAGTTTTCATTGGTAACCTCTCACCCCAATAAAGAGAGAAGATGCCACGAAACATCTAGTAATAACAGAACAATCATGTAATAATAGCCAATACTGCTATCAGGTGGCAAAGATGTACAGTAACACAGTTAGCAAAGAGGTAAGTGTACATACTGCAGGTATACAAGGTATCAAGGGTTCATATGCAGTTTTCTCTGAGCCAAAGAAAGCCTAAATTACATATTATGATTATCGAAAGTATCCAATTATGTAAGCTTTTAAACTTCAAGTTGCAATATTAATAAGGTATATTATATAACTCCCAGTTCCATTACAAAAATCAATATTTCCCTGATTAGGAAACTTCTCAATAAAATTTAAACAGAGAGTTAATATTTAACAATCTGCTAAGAAAAGTTGCTTTTTATTGGGAAAGGTTTGTAGTCAATACATTCCCATCAATCATATCTACATAAGCACTTTCAATAATTTACAGCATGAGTTGGTTATGATTAATTCTTCAATATAACAAATTTATTAAAATATTAATAATATGGTATACATTTCAATACACTTGAGTCATAAAGTCTTACCATGTCAGCAGCTTTCTTAAAGTAGTGAAGAGCTGTCTCGTTGCTCTGGGGTACAATATCACTTCCCTCTGAATACATCTGGGAAACAGACCCCAATTTCATTAACAGCCATAACCCTCTCTCCAATTACATTTTTCTCCTATCTTATTTCATTTCAGTTTTCTTAGATCTCATAAAGTCTTTCCACAAAGTATAGAATCCCCCACAGGATATTTTAGAATTAAAAGCAAACCCTTAAAAGCAAACATTTTAACATTATATATATTTGATGTTGTATCAAATTTATGACTTATCTGTAAACATGAATATATAAAATCAGCTCGTAGATCAGTCTCAAGAGATTTTTAACCCCAAGGTGAATCTTTTTTTCTCACTCTATCCCTAGCCAGTCAAATGGTTAATAATTTGCTTAGGACCAGATCAGTGATTAAAGGAAAAAAGGAAGAGCTATTAGCAGCATCCACTCTCCTTTTACCTTCACCACCACTTTCCCCAGGACAAGATAAAGAATGGGCCATAAATTCAGAAAAAAAATAACTAAAAGGTTATTTTAAAAGGTTTTAAACACAGATAGGGTCTCACTCTGTTGATCAGGCTGGGGTGCAGTGGCACAATCATAGCTCACTGCAGCCTTGAACTCCTGGGTCAAGTGCTCCTCCCACCTCAGCCTCCCAAGTAACTGGGAGTACAGGCATGTGCCACCATGCCTGGCTAATTTAAAAAAATTTTTTTTTGTAGAGATGGGGTCTTGCTATGTTGCCCAGCCTGGTCTTGAACTCCTGGCCTCAAGCAATTTCCCCACCTTGGCCTCCTAAAGTGCTGGCATTATAGGCATGAGCCACCACACCCTGCCAAGGGAAATAATTGTTTAAGATAGGGATAATTAGTAATTCAGAGCAAGAACAAAAAGGCAAGGAATGAAAAATTCTTAAATGCTTAACAAAAAGAGATGGGAGAATACCAATTTCTATGCTATAATGGTTGGAATGTTTAAATGTAAAGTTTCTGGGCCCCAATTAACTAGTTATGATCATGTGGCAAATACTGATAAGATTTTCCTATTTGTAAAAACCTTTGAAATATATTCCATGTGAACTTCCCTTACTTTAAGATTTGGTTATAGATGAAAATGTCCATTGCTTTATATTATTTTTCAAAATATTGAAAAAGGAAGTTTTGAGATTCTTTCATGACATATGTAATCTATTCAATAAGTCTCTGGACTTAAATGTTGCCTTGCTTAAGATAAGAACTACATTGAGAGGTGGGTCACGGCTGTTCTCACATTTAAGACAATTAAAAGGTCTACAGATAAATTTTAACAAATTCTAACTACCTCTACTCAGCAGGAAAAGGAAACAGGCAATTGTGACAGTCTTAGTAAAAAATTGCACAGATTCAAGAACGAATTCCTCATTATTGCATACATTACACGAAAAGGAGGAGCTGAGACAGTGATTGCTATTTTCAATGGGGAAGTAACAGACCGATGAGCAAATGCTATGTTATGTTTAAGTTGCCTAAGAAAATGCCTTAGAATAGCACATACCTTCAGACAAGATATAATATCTTTGCACTGGAAATTTTATTTCAATTTATTTTTGGTAAACTGTAGATCTTGAATACAATACATGCCGACTATGCAAACACCTCTTGCTATTACCCAATACATTCACAGGTTGTACAGTACCTTTCCCAAGAAGGCCATAGCATGTGAATTGCCAGCATTGGCTGCTAAATTGAAGTAGTCAAAAGCTCTCTGTAAGAAAATAATTTATTAAAATTATTAGTTCTTAATAGAATCTGCCCTTGGCTTTTAGCCAAAATAATTATTTCAGGAAAATTAAAAACATCTTCTTATACTGAAGTAGCTTTAAAAACAAGAATATCCACTTATCAATATCTCAAAATAGAAATCAGTACATCTAGAAGTTTTATTTTACCAAATAGCTGCATCAAGTTACAATTTCACATTAAGTCATTTCATAGTTGCAGATGCAAAGAAATTTTGTGTTCCCTAAACTTAAGGGCCAAGAAGACTTCTGCTATTTACAGGCAAAGTGTGCATCAGGCTGCTTAAAAGACAGCTCACAGCAGCTTGACTTCTTTGATCTAGCTCTCTACTGGTAACCTGGGAGAAAGGAAAAACTAAGAACTCATTCCAAGGCATGGAGTATATTTTCATAGTTCTCTAAAGGAATACACTCTTTTTTTGTACTATTTAGAGAAAAATTCTTGATTCTACTTAAAAAATCACACAACTAAACACAATAGTAGCAGTACAAATTTATTATTATCACTCTAAACTGTATTGCTCATCTTTGTTAAGGACCTTGTACCATTCGTTATTCCTTCTTTCCCTTGATGATTTAAGCTCTTCCTCTTTCAAAACCTTTCCCGTTCAAACGCTCTTCAATCTCCTGCTTTTAAAAAATAAAACCCAAACCAAAATACACAATTTGCATCTCTCCTGCAGACCCCCAATTTCTTTCCAATAATGACTAGCTACATGTACTCCAATTCACTCTACAGTCTAGTCTTAATTGGCCTGCATACACACTACTTCAAAAAGATACCTCGAGGCCACCAATGACCTTCATATTGCTGATAAAAATGTTCTCTCATCTCACTCCACCTTTCTCTGCAGTATTTGGCATAGCCCACCAGACTTTCCTTCCTGAAAGACTCTTCTAGCTTTGCTTACAAGATGCCATTCTCTCCTGGTTTCCTTCCTAACTCTCTGCCTGTGTCATCTAAATCTTTGCTGATTCTTATTCTACCAGCTGACTTCAAAACATTAAAGTTCTTCAGGGCTTTTGGACTCCATTCTTACTTTACATTCTCTAAGCAATCTTACCCAATCCCATGGATTCACATACTATCTAGATATTGGCAACTCCTAAGTTTATATTTTCAGCTCCAAATCAGACTATTCAACCATCAGTATGTCTATTCAACTACCTGTATGTTCACTGCTTAAACACAGAACCTGGAAACATCTCTCCTTGACCCCAACTTGCCTCTCCTCTAGCCTCTCAGTTTAAGTAAACAGCAACACCAACTATTGGCTGCTCAAGGCTCTCGCCCACCCTTTCATACGCAATCTATCACACTAAGTCCCTTTACTTTTACCACCAAACACGTGTTGAATCCATCTGCTATCTCCCATTACCACAGGTCTAGTCTAAGCCACATTCTCTCTCATCTGAACTTTTTGAATACTCCCCTCCCTGATCTCCTTGCTTTTATTCTTGGGGTCTTCTGATTCATTCTCTATACTGCAGCCAAAGCCATTGTTTTTTAAATCTGAACATGGTGGTCTTTGCAGCCCCTTGAAGGGTTGCAGGGCTACATTGACATGACCAGGTATTGCTTATCTCAGCACTCTTCGATCTTGCCCTCTGCACTACGGGGACCCCAGCCATACTCCTTTCTGTCTCTGAGCCCACGCACATATTGTTCTTTTTGGCCAGGAATGACCTTACCTCTACTGTCAACTTAGATGTCATCCACTTCTCCTTAGAGAAGTCTTCGCTGACAATTAATACCTCCTACTCATTAACAATTATTGTATCCTGTATTTCTCCTTTGTAACAATAACCACAATTTATTACATATTTATTGGTATGATCATTTAAAAACTATCCAATGCCCCTATTAAACTTGAGGCTTCAAAAGGACAAAAACCAGAACTATTTTGTCCAGTATTGTACCCTGAATGTCTATCAGTGAATGGCACATAATGGGTACAGAAATATTTGAATTAATGGGATTACATATTGGGAATTCCTTTTCCTTCTTCTGAGAAGATGGTGAAATAACTTATCACTGTGTAGTCCCTTTCTTTACATATAGGTACGCAGCATACAACACCAAGAATATTCTCAAACTAGTTAATATAAGAGGTATGCTGCAGACTCTCATTCAGAATTCCCTTCTCTCACCTAACATTTTTATTAACCAGCTCATTTGATGCTTCACTGGCCTAATAACATAGATTTTAATGACTTAGAGACAATGAAAGCTGTCAAAAGCTGTCTGAATAATAAAAAAGACACCCTACAGATAGTTGGTATAGTTTTAGTGATAAGTGTTATTTTGTTACAATCTAAACCTTAAAGGTGATGGGATGTGGTCTATGCAATAATTTTTTTTTTTTTTTTTTTTTTTTTTTTTGAGACAGAGTCTCACTTTGTTGCCCGGGCTAGAGTGAGTGCCGTGGCGTCAGCCTAGCTCACAGCAACCTCGAACTCCTGGGCTCAAGCAATCCTACTGCCTCAGCCTCCCAAGTAGCTGGGACTACAGGCATGCGCCACCATGCCTGGCTAATTTTTTTTCTATATATTTTTAGCTGTCCAATTAATTTCTTTCTATTTTTGGTAGAGACGGGGTCTCGCTCTTGCTCAGGCTGGTCTCGAACTCCTGAGCTCAAACAATCCGCCCGCCTCGGCCTCCCAGAGAGCTAGGATTACAGGCGTGAGCCACTGCGCCCGGCCTCCAATAATCTTAATTAGAATACTTAATAGGCTTGGTAAAAAAAGTTTTATTAGTTTGATAAACATTTATTGAGAACTTACCATGTGTTAGGTACTGCTAGGGGCTGGGAACAAAGTGGCAAACAGGGTAGACATGGACTTTAGGTTCTACCAGGGAAAACAACTTAATTGCATAATTACTTAAGTTTACAATGGACAAGGGCTACAGGAATACAGATTATTAGGAATCCTAACTGTGGTACATGACCTACTCCTGGAGTGGGGTTCAGGGTCAGGGGAAATATATTACAGGTTGGAGCTACAATCTGGAGCATGAGTAGAAATTTGCTCCAAGAAGAAAGTAGATGGGGTAATATTTACTCTAGATAGAGGGACTAGCATTATGGAAACCTCCCCCGAGACAGGGAGGTTTCTGATATGTTCAAAGACCTGAGCAAAGGTCCATGTGCCCGTGACGCAGAGAGCAAGCGGCTGGTGAGGTAAACAGACTGGTATAAGGCCTTGAATGCCATGTTAAAGGTTCTGGTCTTTAAGCCACTGGAATCACAGACCACTCAAGGGTTTTAAGCAAGGGAAACATATGATCAGATGTGTGGTTTACAGAAATAGGATGTTGCTTAGGAAATGCAGGCAGATGATTCAGACAATGGTAGGTGCAGTGACAGAAAAAGAAGGAAAGAGAAGAGTGATCTTTAGGACAGAAAGCAACAAAACCTGGTGGCTAGATATAGATTGGACATTGCAACAGTTGTATAGTTGTAATTTTTCACAAACAAAATTTTCCACAGTTCTATAGGTGCGTTTTTTTTTTTTTTTTTTTTTTTTCTTTTTTCAGAGACAAGGTTTCACAAATGTTGCCTGGGCTGGTCTCAAACCCCTAGGCTGAAGTGATGCTCCTGCCTCGGCTTCCCAAATAGCTGGTACTACAGGCATTTGCCGGCTCTAAAAGGTGTTTTAAGACATACTCTTATCACATACTTACAGAAAACCAAGACTTTATATGTGTATTTTTTGGGGAGTATTGAGAAGTTGGTTTTAGAACTAATAAAATCTTTCTCACCACTCTGAGGTATATTCACATTTTTATTCTTCAGCTTCTTTAAAGGTCAGTTAGATCTTAAAAGCTCATTTGTTAGGGGTGTTTAAATAACACAAGCTTGATATTGGCACTGACTTAGTGACAAATACATCTGGAGCATCGTTTCTGGCTATAACGAGTGCTAAGCCCTGGTAAAAGGACAGTTAGTTACCTGGTGATTTTGTTCTACCCCACGCCCTCCATGCAGGTGCAGTTGTCCCAGACCAACCTGAAAATTAAGAAAAACAAGGCAAAAGTGAATGGTGACATCCGGTACATAACTAAAATCAGAGCAACAAGAAATCATTTTGTCAAAAAAAGGTTTCTAATCGTGACTGAAAACACTAAAGATTTAGTTTTAACTCCCGAAAATATTACTCTACTTCAATTAACCTAAAATTCTTAAAAACTAAAAATGTATGCTTTTGATAACAAAGTATCCTTCTGAAATAGAGGTAAAATAATGGTATTTTCAGATAAACTAAAACTGAATTTGTTCCCAGTGAACTTGCTCTAAAAAAATTACTAAAAGCTGCTCTTCAGACAGAAAGAAAATTCTTGAGAAGCTTGGAAATGCAGTAAGAAATAACGAGCAATGAAAAGGTACATTTGTGAATAACTCTAAATTAACATGTAGTGTATAAAACAATGGTATCGTGTGAGGTTCAAAAATATCTAGAATGAAAACACACACAGAGTACTCTAAGATCTCTGTGTTGTCCCGGAAATGGTAAAAGCGCTCTAAGTGGTAAAAGTGCTAACATGCATCCTTGACTTTTATAAAAGTCAAGGATGCAAGTTGTGATCCCTGGATAACCACTAAAAGAGTAGTATCATGCTAGCAGAGGGGAACAGACGTGCTAGCAAAAGCACTCAAACCAAAAGAGGGCAAGAGACGAGAGAAAAGGAAACATGGAAAAGCAAGATAAACAGAAAGCCAGTAAAATAGACAATTTAAACTCAAACATATCATTAATGTTAAAAAAAAGATACTTAATCTAACAAGATGACTTTAGTATAATTTTCTTCAGCTAAAGATTTGGATCTACCTTTGACTACAATTTTTTTTCTTTTTAATTTAAGATTCCCTTCTGTTAGTCTTAAAACTAATTATTCTTAATAAGTATCTATTGCTCATCTCTTATATATTCTAACTCAGAAACAACTGCAAGCTTAACAGGAAAAATAGATAAATATTAAAGTTCTTTTTATTTTAATGTCATCAAAATATTAAAAATAAGCTAAGAAACACACACACACAGAGTATTTTGATGGACATCATACAACTTCCATTAAACAAACCTGCTATTCTTGACCTCGAGGAATTTAAAAGCTAAGATGAGCTAAAGAAACATAAAAAGTAAATAGCTCTGAAAAGCATCTGATATTCCAAATATTCCAGAGACTTCTTGATTAAAGAAAATGACAGTTTTCATCACTGGTGACTCCAGTAAGAGCTTTCATCATCAGTGTTAAAGCCACTCTGTTAAAGCAGTGAGTTTCACCTGTGGTATGTGGGAGAATCACCTGGCCAGCTTTTAGGAGCTATCAATGCCTAGATGCCATCCCAGATGAACCCAAATAGAATCTCTTGAGAGTATGGGACTCCTGGTATTTAAAAAAAAATGGTCCTCAGGTAATTCTAATATGTAACTAATAATTGCTCAGAGCAATGAAAATGTTACTTCCAGATACAAGTGCTTGTTCCCTCCCCCTTACTGTAAAATAAACAACACGGTAAAGATATTCCCTGAGATGTTTAAACACATACCTGTGCTTGTACATCACCTTTTTCAGCCAGGAACTGGTAATATTGAATCAAATCTTCTTCTAGCATTCCACTATTCATTCCTGGATTTTCTACTTCGTCAGGCAAGCGTATTCTCTGTACTACTGAGCCTCCTGTTAGTGAGATATCACTAGCAACTGAAACAGAGGGATAAAGTAAAAACACAGAGGAAAGTCAGAAGGATTACCCCACAGAGAAAAGTATAATTCCAGCTGCCAAACGTCAACAGATACGATGTTGAAGGAAACCGTTTCTATAGCAGTCTACTTATAACAAAACAGTAATCTATTAATAAATCATACTTTTTCACAAAATACTTAAAAGTAGAACCCAAAGCAAAATTAAATAAAAAAGTACTTCTTAATCAACTAGTTTAAAGATGAGTCCACTTAAGAGAGCCAATCACAATATTTCAAATAGTACAATAAAAATAAACGTATTTAAAATTAATTCTGTATTTTTTCCCCCTAAAAGGTGAAGGAGAAAAACAGATACCATGATTGGCAACAAGACGATAATGAGTCAGTGCAGATTCGCAACTCTGGAGGACTCCGATGCCAGCCCAGTATCGGTAACCCTGTAAAACAACTACAGGTGAGGAGACAGGAGTTTCACATGCTACAGTGGCATTTTTTTGGGGAACAAATAAAGCTAACCATACTCAGAAATAAATAATTAAGTTCTTAGAGCAATCATAATAGATGATTGAACTTTATTTATGAAGCGTGTGCATTTTACTCATTAGAGAAAATTACTTAGGCCCTCTCTCAGAACCAATTTTTATCTAATTTTAGACAAAATTTTAACAAAACTTAATCTTCCAAACTACCAAAGAAGTAACAAATTAGCAAAATAGAGAAAATGAGACTACTGGAAGCAGGCACCCTAACACCAGCAAGAAATGGCTTCCGAATAAGTGGGAAGATAGCCAATTATAAAGGGCAGAAAACAGAAAGTAGACCTCTCTGGAGTCATTCTGCACAGACAAATAACTTTATAAACTTCAACAATCCTTAGGGCATTATTGCATAACAACATGTATAATATTTAATGTTCTTAATCTGTAGCCACTATTTACAAAGATTGGTAACTATAATTATAAAAAAATTCTATCAAAAATATTTAACATACTTTTGCCATAAAAAAATGTTTCATATTTCTTAAAAATTCATCTGAAAGGAACCTTTCAATTGCTGTTTGAGGAATAAATATTATCGTAGATTAAAACTGAAAAAAAATAAAATGTATGATTATCTAATCTAAAAAGTGATTCTGATAATTCCCATGCAGAGAAAATAAAAGAAAGCCATTTCTCAGATCTTTACTTTTATAGGCAATCAGCCAAACTAATTATTTTAAAGAAAAATTATGGACACTACCCATTTTCATTCACATGTAGATTCAATTTGTTATATCCATTAATAAGAATTTGAAGGATGTTCAACTGAATATCTGGTCTTAATTAATATAAGCAAGTCTCAATCATGAAAGCTGGAATAGTTGTGGCCACTGTAAACCACGAATTCTTCTGCTGCTTAATGTTATTAGTCTTCCACTGTAGTAGTACTTACCAAAACCATGTGGGCTATTAGATTGCCCCCAAGAGCACCAAAAGTGTAATATACAAGGGCCTGTGAAAGAACAAAAGATGCTTAACTGAACATAAGTACATATTTATTCAGCTCAAATTATAATACACAATAAAGTTTTAATATTATTACCTTTGCCTGACTTGAATTAACAGCAAGTCCAGAGGCATAAAGAAAGCCAAGAGCCTGAAATAAAATGGTAAAAGTAAGGATTCTTCCTCGGTGAAAGTTTATCTGAAACAGACACAGTTCTATGCACTATGAAAAGATGCAAGGGTCTTTAAATGCTAAAAGATTTGAATGCAATTATGCACAACTGTGGAATTAAAGAGCCTTAGAAATACATTCAGGGCTTTACAAATTACACAATTAAATGTAACTTTAAACACGTCAAAAAGTTTAGCATGAAGATGAACGACAATTTCATAAATATTAACTAGAAAAAACAAAGCTGAACACACTTAAATATGACTTTTGCTTTATCTTTACGAACAGTCATTGTGAAGATAAACAATCCCCCAGCAGTACATCAACGTATTTCTCTATTTATGCAGAGTGGGATACATTACGAAAAACGACAAGAGATTACCACGATAAACTATTGCACATATAAGAGGAGGCAGCAAGGAGTCAAGTTGAAGGGGTCAAGGGAAAAAGGTGAGTTTGCAATGCCAGAGCACACACAATTTTCTAAAAAAACACAACTGAGCAAACGATGCACTGGTAAGGTTCTCCCCTTGGCCTTCTGTGGATCATCCCTGACACGAGAGTACAAGCTAAAGTTACAAAGGCAAATGTGGCACTGACTGTTGTGTTCATGAAAATCTACATTTCCCAGTCTTCCTTGTAGTTAAGTAGGTTCATATGCCTGGGATGTGGCTGGAAGGGATATAAGCCATTTTTAGGCCTCGCCCATAAAAACATCCCAGAGAATTCTCTGGCTCTCTCTTCTCCCTTCATGAGGGCTTGGAAGCTCTGTGTTCCAGATGGTGCAGCCACATGATGGAAGCAGCCCATGACCCAGAATCACCATTCAGAGAAGAGTGATGCAAACAGTGGAGCTGCATCAAACTTGGCATGAGCCAATAACCCTTTGTAGTGCTAAGCCACTGTGATTTGGGGGCTTTGTCTATTGCATCAACTAGAATTAATTTCCACAGAGAGAGTGCTTTGCAATGTAAAGTACTATGGCATTGTAAGGTTCTAATATTAGAGGGGAATGATGCCTTATAAAGTAAAACCATTCTTCAGAGCAGAATGCCGCCGAAGATAAAGAATATAGGTGTAAATTTTAAATAGACGGATTTATTCAAAGAAGGGAAAAAAGCCCTGAAAACAAAGGGGAGCAATTAAGATATAATCTGTTTATAAACAAAAACTGAGAATGTGAAAGAGCTGCAGAGTCATTAGGAATTCTGTTCTACAGAAAACAATGGTTACGATTCCTGCTACTGTTTAAATAGCGCGAAAATAGACTTTCTCTGATTAGAAATTTTGTTTATCTTTAAGTAAATCCCATAGCTTGAATAAACCTGATTACTGAAGGCATGTTGAATAAGTATGGTGGATTCCTAAATCCAGGTGTCAATCTTAGCATTACCAATGGGGAAACACCCACATATTACATTATCAACTGAAGTGACACAATGTGGAATACACAACATCCCCTATAATGTAGTCTAGCCAAAAATATTTTACTTGAGTCCATCAGTCTTTAGCTGTAAATTTCTGTTCACAGAAAATATAGGTGATGGAGAAACAACTAAAGGATATCACGAAGAAGCTAATAAATAGAAGTAAGATATTCTGCAGAAAAATGGGCCCTATCTCTAACAAAGACAAAAACGATAAGGGGCTATGCTAGAAATAACAACCAAATATGAGTATAGTCCTGGGCTGGATTCTAGTTTCGACAAAACAGGTATAAAGAAATTTTTTGGTTCAACACCATGTAAACATAGTATAGATATTATATGAAATAAAATGTGCTGAAATAGAAAGGGGAAGGTTGTTAACGGAAAAGAGCAAGTTACACAGAACAGTAGACAGTGGCATTTAATTTTAATAAAACATTCATATATATACACGCATACAAAAAGAAAGGTCTAGAAGGATACGCATGCACTACTACATTATCACTGCTCATATCTGGGTGGGACATATGTGATGTTTACTTTCTTAGTTTTGTTAGCTTGTATTTCTAGTTTCCTATATGGACATAACACTTCTGTAATAAAATATTAAAAAAAAAACACCAAAATTAACAAGAGCTGCAGCACGTGAACTTTGGAAAAAAGGCGATGGCAAGTAATTTCAGATAAAAAAACAATTACCTTCACATTTCATTTGCTACAGATCTAATTTGTAAAAGTACAAATGTAATTGTACTTGCAAGATGCAATTGCAAAAATACCTTCATTGACCATGAATGTTCTTAGATTAAGGAAAAATACTATCCAAGAAGACTGATAAAATGGTCTGCCACAAAACTGATATTTAAAGACATTTTGTCTTCCAGTCTTACTTGTTAAAAGAAGTCATGGCACAAAGAGTAAACTGTTGTTAAAATTAACGAGTGCCGTGTGCGGAGAGCTTCTCCATTGAGAGAGCACTTACAGTTTGTCCCTTGGGAGAGCCTTCCTCAGTCAGTTTCTCAAACATCTCTTTGGCAGCCTGGATATTCTGTGTCAGGTAATCACCAAACAAAAGAGCATATGACACTCTCTCCAGAGCCTTGGTATGGTTCATGCCTGCTGCCTTTTGAAGATATCGATATGCTCTTTAAATACAAGCAATTATAATAATTAGTAAAGTTTTGAAACTGCCTTTGAAGTCTTACAAGATCTACTAAAATGCAGCATAAATAATTTTCTTACGTTATAGAATCCCTCTGATATCTTATTTCTACTAAGTCATGTTACTTACATATGTAGAAAACATCCTAGTTTGTTTTTACATTAGGTACCAGTTTTCCTGATATCTTGGATTAGTCTGATTACACTAATAGTAATTCTAAAAACTTCTATTAAAAAAATTAACTAGATTTACAATAAGAGAATTATAATGTAATGATGTCCAGTAAATAATCCAGTAATAATCACTGCAATTTTCTTTTCAAATCTTTGCACAGACTGTATCAAAATCAGCTGAAATTACAAGGACATAAAATGTTAGAAGACAGTCACTTGTTTTATGTTTTTCCCAAGTGCAAAATTTCTAAATTCCAGTTGAAAATTACAAAACAAAAAGCAAACAACACATCTCACAATAATGCCTTTTGTTTGTTTTAATGTGATTCTGAATTCTGAATAGTATATGCATTTTTGGTTCTTAGAAACTATTAGAATTTTTGTCAATTACTTTCACTTTACTCGTTCATTCTTATGATCTATATTTAAAACCTGTTTACCTTAAGCTAAAATTTGACAAAAGCAATACTACTAATGCCCATAAATCATATTACATTTGCTTGTAATGAACTTGAGAAATCTTCTGTGTCTCTGGCAGTACAGTTTAAAAAAGAACTCGGCTATTTGTCTCAGTAATGCCCTATCTCGGGGGAAGAATGGACTTAGCAGTGCTACCTACTCTCTTTTCTGGCTTTTCTTATTGCTTCCATTGAGAATTTTCATTCCAGTCTGATACATCACTTCTGCTTCCTGCATCTGCCGTCTCTTAGCAGCCTCCTCTTCAGCTAAAAACAAATGTCAGATGTATTTAAGCATATTTTAATTCTGTACCAATTATTTATTAAACATCAGTATTTATTCTTTCTTTGGGGTAATCATACAAACACAGGAATAATCTTTCACTATTTCCAAATTTGACTCTAAAAACTTTGGGTTTAAGTGTGGCCTTTACCTGACACAAGATGACTTATTTTAAAAAAATATATAAAATTCACTGAAATCACTTTCTTTTAGAGAAAGCAATACCAAGCTGCTCTTAGAGAGTGCTTTTCTGTTAGTTATAGTAACTTTTTCAATATAATTTTATGAAAATTTCACATTATGTGCTAAGGTCAGCTAAAATAAGGACAGCAGGACATTAGAAAACAATAGTCAG